TGTCTGCATGTGTGTTTGTGTGTCTGTGTGTGCGCAGCGCTTCTGTACCGATTTTTCATCTCGAGATCTACAAAAGCTGCAGGGCTGAAACTTTGGAAACTTAATCTACATGCATGTACAGGTCCCCACCCCCAAAATGGGCGGTCCCACCCGCGTGGTGCCTACACACAGGTCGTGAAAATTTTTTGCGGGTAAGTCGCTAACTCGCAAATCAGAAAAGCTAGAAAGCTGAAATTTTAAGGAGATTTTCTCCGTCCACGTAGGTCTCAATGAGTTAAAACCCAGCCTTCGGGTATGCGTGGTAACCACGCACAGGCCCTCCCAAGTTTTTTTTCGGGTAAGTCGCTAACCCGAGAATTTGAAAAGCTGAAAAGCAGTAATTTTAAGAAGATATTCCCCGTCTCACTGAGCTGAAACCCAGAATCCGGGTATGCGTGGACCCATGTACGGGCCCGTGAAAGTTTCTTTCGAGTAAGTTAGAAGACTGTAGTTTTAAGGGAACGTAGGTATTAATGAACCCAAACCTACCTCTCGGGTATAAGTCATCCCCACGTACGAGCCTGTGAAAGTTTTTTTTGGGTAAGTTGCTAACTCGGGAACCTGAGAAGCCGGAAAACTGGAAATTTGAAGGGATGTTTCCTGACAGTCCTAGCGGCCAGTCTGAAATTCTTGCTAGAAGCATTTGCCCGAAAAAACAGTGCCGTTAATGACAAAAATTTGCGGGGAACTATGTAAAAAAACGCATCTTCGCACGGGCAGCCCGTGCATTGGCCAATTATTTAATTTACTCATAAAAAATGCTAACAATGCCGAGATAATCAGTCCAGTGATTTTGCGCTAGTAACTTCACTGGAAAATTCCCAATTGACATAGCTGTGATAGGTCGTTCGATTTTTAAATTTCTTATTTAACAAGTCACAAATTCTCAATTAAAAATATACAAGCGAAAACAATTTTCTTAATGTTTCAAAAAAAACAAATTCAGCAAATCTAAAAAGCCTTAATTCATGAAATTCAAAAAAAACTGGGAAATAAAAATAAGATTTTGGAAATTATTGCATTCCAAAAAATCTGGAAATAAGAAAATAAGAAAAAGACACACGCGAATAGTTACCTGATCAATAAGAATTCGCGAATCGAGCGCTGCCTGGACAATTCGACGCACATCAGTGATGTGCTGTTCAGAGTTTGTCAGAAATGATCGAAACGTATCGAGCGCCTCACTGATGGACTGTCGGTCCGCATCCGCAATTGACCCCTCTTCCAGCAAATGTGTAACAGCTTCCAAACGACCACCAGCCTCTTCCATATGCTTTATTATTTCAGCTGCCTTAGCTTCCACTTGCTTCATCTAAAAAAGCACTGCTGAACGAAACAAAAGAAACTAAAAAATTGCAAAAAATAATCAAAATTGCTAAAAAAACGAATGCAAAATTTACACAAGCTAGTGACAATCATTTTTTTTTAAAGATTTAACACTGATAAAATGATAGACAATACTTGAACGAACCTGCGACGTCAATCTTAAAACACTGAATATTTTCACAATTTTTAAACATTCCAATTCTTTGACCTTCGCACCTATTGTTTCCATCGCCTAAAATGTGAGAAGAAAATAAACACCCATCATAAAAATCACAAACAAAAAATCAAATTCAATTTCAAAATCACTAGAAATCTCAAAAAATCATTTCGGAAATAACTCGAAAAATCACTAAACCAGCTCTTTTTTAATTTAATGAACTAAAAATCAAAAGATAAGAGATTAACACACAGATTATTAAATGGCATCCATGTAAAGTTGGAAATATACCAAGAAAGCCGACAACAAGAAGAGCTTACATGAAAGAAAATACCACATAGCGTAGATGAAAGAGACTCTACGTGAGAAGAATGGAAAAGTTGCCAGTTGCATTGATGCTCTGAAGCAACTCAAAGACTACAAAGTGTTAAAAAAGTAACAGAGTGAAAACCAACTTCGGGGACGTAATTCAGAAATTCGACTGCTTCTAGGGCGCAGCGCAGTGATTTCAGTCGTTTGGCGAAACTCGAGTTACTCTTCTGCATGACCATACTCACCTCCTCGAAACCTGATACCGCACGCTTCACTGCATCGCTGCAAGAAACCAGTGGGAGCGGGCCGCAACATGAATTAAAATTCAATAATTCGGGAGTTTCCAGAAAGTTTCAAATCCATGATTTTTGACATTCTATAGAAAATGTTATGAAGCGGAATAGCAGCGGCTGGTGGTAAAGAGTAAGGAAACGATTTTTTAGCATCAAAGGTGTCACACTGACAGTCCGAACGATCTTGGTGATAAAAAGGTGATAAATACACTCGAGACACACAGACTCTGGTACACAGGCACCATTTACCAATGCACTCTTATCAGTATAACTAACCTCGTTATGCAGCATCACATTGCTGATGTGTTGACTAAAACGCTCTGTCATATGGGCAAGAATGAAAAACAACAAACTGATAAAAACAAGGTGCTAAAAAATAAGAAAAGCTGGATTACTTGCGAAATTATTACTGTTTTGGGCTTTTTTCTAGGGCATAACGAAAAGGGAAAAAACAGCTTTTTTTTAAAACGAAACATATTTATGTTATCTATAAATCCACAGTTAATTCATTTCTCGTAAAGCATTACACTTTCATAGCCAACAAACATTCTACCTGCGTCCACGCATATATAAAAGGAATAACAAGGCCATTCACACATTCGGTTGGTGCTGAATATGAATATATAAAATTTTCTGGATCGAAACGCTCCTCTTTGACTTCTTTCTTCATTATCTGATTACACTGTGACATTATTTTTTATAAATTTTCTATTATTTTTTTATAAGTTTTCGAAAATTTATTTTTTATAAATTTTCTATGATTTTCTCTTCATCGCTTTATAATTCATTGGTCTTTTCTATTTTTCATTATTCCTGGCCAATTTTTGCCTTAAATATCACTTTTTATTTCACGTTAATGATACTGGGATGCTCTCATACACCAGATGCAGCTGTGCCAGACCCTTCATTTTATTACGTACTACCTGTCCGATTGTATGTGTGTCACCTCATCAAAGGTCGCCCAGGTGGCTGTCGTTTGCTTGGTTTGCCGGTACCCTTCTTTAGTCATCTCCTATTATGTCTCTGTTCAAATTACACCATTGAAAATTTTTAATGGCAATTTTGAAAAATACCAGCGAGTAAATCATAGATTAACTTGCAAAAAATTCTTAAGAATAGTAATCGCTGTGAATTCAAATGAGAAGGAATGAATGAATGAATGAAAGCATACGAGTAAAGAAACGGATCGAGATGCTCAAGAACAGGATATTGCGTCTGTAGCTCATCGCATAATATTTTGCCCCGGTGTCGCAAAAACACCACATCTGCCTCATCCTTTACACCAGCCCATTGCTTGTCCAATCTGTAATAACACATGCACACACACGTACACACATTGCTGTTCAGCTATATCATTATCTGTGGAGAACTACCGCCGAAAACCGGTTTTCAACAGTCACCCCAGGCGAAACAAATTTCCCGGAAGGCTAAATCTGATTTTAAAACAAGCGAATTTCACTCCAACATGACCAGTGGTCAGTGCCAGCAGAAAGCAGACTGCATCAATATCGGTTCAAAATAAACTGGTGTTGAAAGTACCGATGAAGCGATACAGGCGCTGCGAGCGTTCGTCGTGTTTTAAGGAATGCTGCTATCTCTGCTCATCGCGCAGTTGCTCATCTATTTCATTGAGTGTGACGACTTTTATGGTCTGTCCCGAGTTAGCAGCTTACCCGTAAAAAACTTTGGCGGGCTCTTACGTGGGTAACACGCGGGTAAGACCGCCCATTTTGGGGATGGGAGTCCGTACGTGCATATAGATTAAGTCCCCAAAGTTTCAGCCCTGTAGTTTTTGTGGGTCTCCAGATGAAAAATCGGTACAAAGGCCCAGCGCACACAAAGACAATCTCTCGTCAATATGCGTTTTACACACTGCATAGCTGCAAAAAACGCATAAAAACAGAATTTAGAAAAAATAAATTCTCGAAGCGCCGTCGACATGGTGTGCAATGGCGATAATCCTGCCTCTTGCTAAAGTTCGAGGATTCGATTTTGCCGGCAAGATAACCGATTTCTTTTACGATTCATCCATTTGTTCCGATGACCAATTATTACTAACACATGTCAAGGAATCGAACTGCTTTTAAGCATCTTCGAAAAAAAAAGGGGAAAACGATTTTTCAGGTGACTCTACAACCGAAATTTTTCTTCCACAATGCGGGAAACATAAAAGCATAAAAAGCAGTAAAAAGCTAAGGAAGAAAGGGGACATACTCATCGGTTTGCATTCGCAATGAAGAAATATCGATGGTTTTGAGATCGTAGGGAGCTTTGAACCGCTTCATATTTTCATGTAACTGCATGTACAGCTTTGCCGTTCGATGTGTCCTTTTCAGTAATTCCTCCAAACACTATAAAAATTTCAGTGCAAATCAAAACAAACAGTCTGTTCATCAATAAAAATTATTATAAAAAGCAACTGTAAAATCTTTGGATTTATTATCAGAAACAGAATTCAACATGTTCCGAAGTCCTAAATAAAAGAAAAAGTAGTCAAGAAAAAAAATGATGGATTTTCTTGAGATATTTAATTCATGATGATTAAGGTTCTATATAATATCTGTCCCTCATCCAGCTATATGAAATCCTAATTATGCCGGTACGAAAGGTGGCATAATTCTAATCCCTAGAAAATTCTAATTCCTGCTTCCTTTCTGCTTTAATAACCCAGACTTACGAAAACGGGATGAACGTCAACGTGCTTATTAGCAGCGTATCAAAATTTGATTTGGTATAGATTTGCATATTTATCGTAATCCACCCATATATTGTCCATAACTTAGATATTTTATCTATACTATCAGCAATTTACTGAAAAAAATTGCTGTCGATTTGTAATGAAGTATAGATGCTGTGGACAATATATGGGTGAATTAGAGGAATTAAGGGAAATACACCAATATAAATGTACTTCAGATCCCATTCGAAGAGACACAACTTTGTCAACTGCATAATTGGTGAAATGGACTAACTATAATTAATTCAAATATTCTCGTATTAAGATATGACAGAGTACAATGCAATCTGATTTTAGCATCATACATTGGAGAAAACTAGCATCACTAATAAACGTCACGAATTTCCGGCTGTTGCTGTTTTAACGAATTATCACAATTTCATTTAAAATAACGAAAAAACTAACGAATCGCAAGTGGAAAAAATGCTGCGTAACTGAGGGATCAATCAAGCCATTTAAATTCGTGGAGAAATTGCTCGTTTCAACATGCCCCGCAATACCTTCGATATCCGTTACGATATTCTAGAATAATGAGAAATAAAACACTGAACGATGAAGACAGGTATAAGTCCTCAAATTTTTTATTTAGTTTTAATATGTACAGAAATACAGATACGTCTATACATAACACAATTATTTTAATAAATATCAGAAACCCTCCATAACCTACCCTCTTTGATAGGCAAGGTCAATCCGAAACAGCCCCAGTTGTAGCATTTGTCAGTAGCAATCATCTGCTGGCAATGATGGCGATGGCTTAAAATTTGCTTAGATAAAAACTAGTGGCGGCTCTGACAGTACCAATTTACCACCAAAACAAATGAACAAATTGTAGAAAACTAGATATCCCACTAGTGGAATCGAACATTCGACTTCTAGCGTGATAGTGGTGGTGTTTATTTTCATTAACAAAGTTAATAAATAAAAGCAGTTTTTACCACTCACCACAAATACTTCTAATAGTTTTTTATCACAATCTATCATAAACGTTCCTGAAAATACTGCTATAAAATTCACCAGTGACACTCACTAAACTCACTAAAGCCACTACCCATTCTTCTTCATCTCACTGAGAATTGATCACAACAACCATGAAAAGACTTCAGTTTTTTGTGCTGATAAGGGCTGATTGCATGGGGATGAGCTAAGAGGGCAAACAGATCAGACTAATTAAACGTGAAGGAGGAACTCATAAAAATATTACCCTAACTCGTGATAAAATGAGATCTGTCGTGATGGCTGTTTCGAGAATTTGTAGAGATGAGCCAACAACCCATAAGATGCAATCAATTGTGCCATCAAGCCATGACTGCAGTACATATAATTTTGATTTGAAAAAAAAAAAAAAAACAACTAATTATGCCATTGAAATAACTGATAAAATCCACTAAAATGATACTAAAGACAAGGAAACATACTGCTGCGGGTCGAACTGCTTCAAGAAAACGATAAAGGCATTCATCGGAACATTGGCGAGCATCAATGATTATGTACAGAGTATGTTTTTGATCCACACATCTGGAACAAAAAAAAAAGCAAAAGATTAAAATTTATAAAAAAGCCCATCATTAATAATAACATTCAAATTCACTAAACAATAAAAAAAAAAAACAGTCAAAACTGGGGATGTATTTGCAAAAATATCAGGGCAATAAAAATGGGGGAATTAGTAATGCAAAAAAAAAAATTAGAATTTAAATTCTGAACAGGAATGTTTCGGTCCATCAAGTCGTATATGTACGGCGCTACAACTAATTGTATGACTAATATTCTCAGTTGTTTTTATACTAACTTCACATACATCATATGATACTTTTATTTTTTTATTACATACTACATGCTGTATTAACTGCCTCAAATTTATTTCGCTATTTTATCTCTCTTTTTAACATTAGTTCGCTGTTAATTTTACTGCATTTTTCAACAATAAATAGCATTTGAAGCAAAATGTGCATATATGTGCTATTCGATGAATAATTGTATCATATTTCACAAACGGTAGAACGACGATTTTATTTTACGCTCAAAGTGCGGTGATTTCTTTGTAATTCCGGTCCTCATTTTAGCTAACAATTTTTCTGGTTTTGAGAAAGACACATGCACACACAAACACACACACACATACACACATGCACACACACACGCACACACACACACATGGACGCACAAATTACCTTGTATAAAGCGAGTATGTTGAAAAAATGAGCGACGGCACAACATCAAAAGACACATCCGATGAGATTCGCAATTCAACGATTGGCTTCGTATGTACACTGTTTTTGCGGAGACCTGCAATTCAACGTATCCTGAACCAGAAAGCCAAATTAGCATGTAAGTTGAAAAAAAAAACCTAACGAGTAGTATGAAACTGCGGAAAACTGGTCATTATTGGCACTCTCCGTGCTTTTGAAGGCCAACACTACACCCATCGAGCACTTAACTGAACACTCATACAAAACTGGCTTTTCAACATCAATTTAGCCCGACACAACAAAATTTTACAAAAAATTAGTAAGCCGATTGTAGCCGACTGCAGCAACCAGGTTGACTCTGGAAGCCCAAATGGCAAAGGCGCAATAGATTATAACATGAGAGAACCGAATGAGAGAAGATAAGAGTGAGATAAGACGTTTCGGTCCATTAAGTCATGTACTTCTTAATTCAACACTGCGACAGGACCTCGTTAGTAAATTTTTATTGGCAAGCATGCTGCCTTCTAATACATCTTCTGCGTGGGGCTGACTGCGCTATCGTGTCACCCCACATATCTACTCCATCTCTTTTCCCTTGTCGATAAAGTGCCTCACTGAAAATGAAAAGTAGAAACATCCGAGACAAGGTGGTGGTACTCAACACATACATCAAAGAATCAAATGACGGCCAATACCCTGCCAAGTACTTCCCGTTGGAGAAACGCTACGTTAATAACCCCTTACAGGAGCGAAATGGATGTAAAGGCTGTCAGCTAATCACCAAGCGATGCAGCACTGGTCAAAGCAACTGGAAAATAAACAAGCTATAAATTACAGCTGCCCCAAAGTATTTCATGTAATTATCATTATGACTAAGGCAATGCTGAATGATCTCCGTTAGATTTACACACTAAAGATGCGTCATACATGTTGCTTCCGTGTTGAAAAGGCCAGGACGGCATTAATTGCCGCATACAGAATATACTTTTTCTTATTAAAAAAATTACACATTGGACTGGAGAGCGAAGAAAAAGCTCCTCAAGTCAATTAAAAATATAATAAAGAATGCTATGGGGAAAGCTTGTTTTGGATTTGGACAGAATGAGGAAAAGCAAGTTATTTGGGATGAATTTATTGGAAAAATTATAGGATTTTCAATCGGATGACCAAAGAACCGGTTTACAATCTCATTTTAACTTACCTTTATGCTAAAAAAAAATTGCGATTTGCCCTTAAAGCTTATTAAATTACACTACTCCATTTACAGGGTGCCATTAAATAATACTAAAATGACGGGGTTTTATTTCAGGTACTGACTTCATTGTATAAAACTGGTTAAATGCTAATAAACATTTAATTTTTCTTTAATGGGTTTTCAGAAAAAATCAAAAAATCGACTCTTTTGTTGAGTTTAAATCGATCTACAACTGCCTTTTTTTCCTAATTCCAATTGACAATATTAGCAGAAAATCTCGCCTCTCCCCCCTCCCCCTACCCCCGCTTTCCCCCGCGCCAAAAAAAAACCTGGAAACAAAACCTTTATTTATACAAAATTTTGATAATTCATCGGAAAAAAGTCAAAATATGGGAGTTGCATGTACAAAGCTCTACTGGTTTAGCTTGTACAGAGAAAAGCAAAATGTATTTTTAATTAGTACAAAGTAATATAATGCGTCCCCGGGGAAATTAGCCGGACGACGGATACCAAGAAAAAAGGAAAGCGTACCATGGATCTGGAAAAACTGATGCGCTTCCAAGCCTGGAAATGCGCTAAGAGTATCCGAAAAATACTTGCTGAGTGGTTTCATCCGTAGCTCATCTGCAACACAGCGTTGAAATAGTACAGAAAAATGCAATGGGGAAAAAAACAGAAAAAAAAAACACGGCGCGCACGCAAAATTCAAGAGAGTGCAAAAAGAAAAATAAACAAAACTAAAAGCTTTCATTTTACAATCAATTCCAGACTGATTCTGCCGACGGCATTGGTTATATGCTTTTCTCAAAAAGCTAAGTCATGCATGTCTAAGCTCACATGTGAAAATGGGTTATCCTATTGAGGGGGAGAGAGAGAGGGAGGAGAGACAGATGAAGGAAAAAGGGAAAAAGGAAATGACGCATTGGGCGTGAATTCAGAAAAAGGCAAAAAACCGAAAATCTTTAATTTTCTATAAAAAGAAAATAGAGTTTTTTCGCATAAGTCGACTGCAGACGTTTGATATAAGATTACTTCACTGAAACAAGGACAAAATACGTGTACACTGAGTAAAAACACCTTATTCTTGAAAGGTGTGTAGGAAATGGTACTTTTAATAAGCAAAGAGAAATAAAACTATAAAAAAGAACTTTTATGAAAGGCAAAAAACACGTATTTCGAATCTCAAAAAATCGCTGTGCGAAAAATGACGAATTTGCGCTGTTGAGGTTTCAATGAAATTCAAATTTCTGTAACATTTGCAAATTTTTCGAAGCTAATTTGGGCAATGTCTTTTGATTAAGCTCAACGGAACAGTGAAAAACATCATCGTTCGAAACGAATCAAGCACCCGAAGGCACAAATCAAGCATAAGCTTTGCTGTCTTCAAAACGACTGCAATGAATGGGGAGAGCGGGGGCGAGGGAGGGGGAAGTGGGAGGGGACGAACGGATCCTGTGTAAAACAGGTTTTTGGGCCTGGAATTACATGGGTCATCAGACGAATTGGGAGAAAAGCGAAATACTGGCATGACTAAATGAAACTTTATTGACTCCACACAAAAAGTCGTCGAATTTCACCGAAAAATGGCAAAATATAAATGTTAAAATTTTACTTTATTGATTTCACTTGAACAATTTTCGAATTTCAACAAAAATGGCATAATATAAGTGATCGAATGGGCATAAAAATGAAGTACAGATAAGGCAACGGCCGATTAGAAGAAATTACGTGATGATCAGCTCAATGCAAAAAACGCCTCACCAAGTTATAGAGCAGATGTACGTTAAGAACTACACTTCAGTGCTAGTGTGCACGAGCTGTATCCCCAGTGAAGCCGAAAACAATTTCGTGAAAATTTAGGAGACAAAAAAATAGGCCAAAAAAAATTCTTTGTCCGTTTTTTCCTCAAACGAACAAAGAGAGAGAGGAAAGGCGATGATACCTCCTCGAAGGTCACCGATGTAGCAACGAGGGCAGCCGTACGTAGGAATCTGTGTATAGCTATGCGTAAGATAATTTGAATAAGACGGAAGATAATGAGATGAGGCACGAGGAGGAGGGAAGGCGAAGTAATGGCGGGGCGGAAAAGGGGAAACGGAGGGAACCAAATCTGCACACAAAAACTGATAGGGAAAGAGTAATGAATATGGTGAGAGTTGCAATTCAGGCGGCCACAACAAAAAGCCAGCTTGCAACGCACTAGGCTTATCGGTGCGCTCATGCATTTTTGCGCTAAACTTGCAGATTGCTAACAGCAGGAATGATCTCTATGCACAGCAAAAACGCACAAAAATTATCGAGAAATAAAAAATAATTATTATTAAAAGTAATAAAATTACATATACTACATATAAATAACTTAAAAAAGAAAAAAAGGTTTTTTCCACCGCACGGAGCCCAATCACTAGCATGTAATCAATGTCATAATAGATAGAATAATATAATATTTGGCATGTTTTGCAAACAATACATAATGCACAAAATGAACACGAACGGGCACATTAACTGGACATCCGGAAATCCCCGGATTAAAGGATTTTCATAGAATTATAGCACCTGCCCAATGAATTTCACAAACACATACACAGCAGACATACATACACATGCATCCAGACACACACACACATTTATACACAAGTACTCACACGAAAAAACACGAAAACACATGCATATATACAAATAAAAACGCAGACACACACATGCACATACACATGCACACACATGCACATACACACGCACAAACATGCACATACACACACATGCACACACACACACACATGCACACACACACAAATATGGATATATACGTACACACATGCAAAACATGCCAAATAAAAACAACTACATACACAGATGCGCATGCACACACACAAACACCCTTACGTACAAGCACATACACCAGTGCTAACAATATGAAGTTGTAATTAGCAGAAATTAAACTGGGTATAAATTCATCCTGATTAAATTGAGGCTTATCAGTGAATACCAATGAATGTGCAGAGATACTTTTGAGGGAAGGAAGGAGTCGAGGCGAGTACGAATGAGTGACAAAAACACAAACAAGAATCCTCTTGAACTTTCTCCTCAAATTTCTTTGCAACTTTTGCTCACGGTACTTTTGTTTGCTGTCGGTCTTGTGGCCGTATTTAGCCTCAGATGAAGTTCACCGCCCAATTTGGGCTGCGATCTCGGGGCAACCCGATTCCAAACTGCAACCAAACCAAATGTTTCACCACCTGTACAGGTCTAGCACTTTCTATGGACTGTAGGCCCGCACAGCGGAACTCTGGGTGAGTTCTCGCAACGTGAAGAGCGCTAGATGTGACGTACAGCAGATGGTACTCGTAAAAAGTATTCCGACGAGATGGTATGCATACGCAGTATAAATGGCATATCTAAAATGGGGATATGCAGGATGCCACTTGGAATAATAGACCAACAGGATTGTACGCAGGCCATATGTAAGGTGATGTTTTGTGGTGCCTTTATCTTTTAGATGTAATGGGGCGATATTTTTCGATGCAGTCTCTGTGTTTCATCCCTTAGCTGTACACACAGACCGGACTATGCATGCGGGTAGCAGTGGGAATCGTCAGTACAGCCTCCTACCCGCCATGTATTGAAAGGACATGTAACTAATTTGCATGAAGGATGAGTGAAAGGAAAAGATAGAGGGAGTAAGAAGGAGAGAAAATATTGAATATCATGAAAGAAGTAGGAGTGATAGAGCAGGTGGAAGAAGAGGAAACTAAAATACGATAAGAACAGTAATTCTATGAAGTTATGAAGAGACAGCTTTCATGAGAATATCGCACTAACTAGGTTTTTAATTCCTAGGTGGAACCGCCTGATATCCTCATATCGCCATCCCACGGAGCACATCCAGTGACCGGTGCTAATGCGGTAAAACGGCCAGTGTTTTTAGGATATGGGGTACCAACAAACAACCAACATATGTTTCTGAGGAACCGAAATCCACTTCATTTATGCTCTACTGTGCGTTCAAAACCACCATCCTGACTGATATCTCCTTAATCATTGCAAATTTCCACAGTAATCTGATAGAGATATCATCGCAATCTGATATCTCTATATAATCGCAATCCGATATCTCTACTTCTACCGTTGAAAACCCGCGAAAAGCCGACAAAAAAGAAGCCACCATAAAGAAGAAATATGGAAGACAGCCAAGAAACGAAAGGTGTATCCTGTCTTGAAAGGTAGATACGCAATAGTGCTGGGCTGACTGTGAAGGCAAAGGGCCGTAGTGTAGTGGATAGAATGTCCCATCCAATGTGAAGAGTAGTGGTTCGATTCCCTCTCGGTCCATTTTCGTGAAAAGGCTCCGTTCACGATAATTTTCACACCTCCTATGCTATCATTATCAACTAACAGGAGTCCTTCGCAACGCGTTAAAGCAAGATAAATAGCAACGCGCACCAGACTACCCGGTGCGATCATGCGTTTTGTGCAATTCAGCCCATCGAA